CTTAGCTATTACCTTATCCTAGATATAAAAAGTGTAAAAATCCATATAATTATTACTCTGGCTTTCGGAAGGAAACGCCAGAGGTATAAATTCGGCTTAGTTTTCTTGGGCATTCAGTCACAAAATGCAGTTCCACTTCAGTGCATGCGTGAAGTGTATGGGCATGCATAGAATGAACCCTAAAGCGCATGGTTCAAAGTAATGGCTGCCTTCTTAGATAATTCCTTGCTTGATGTACGCGAAAGAAATTCGATGGCTATTACGCTCAGTATACTTACAAAGTCACACACCGTTCACAGTAGACCCACACTAAAACTTGTGGAGCATTTTGGGAATGGGTTGGTCTGTGAACAATATGAGAGATCAATTTACGAGCGATACTTTACAAGTGAACCTTCTATCGAGGAATATCAAGCGAAACGTGCTATATCAAACAAGCTATCTCGTGTTATGTTTACGTGTAAACACAACCATTTATTTAGACATGATCGAGAACCCAGTAGAATACCAGAAGCTACTCTGAATCGTCTCAGAGGAAAGGGCAGAAGACTGAAGGAATTTGTTTATGAGCGTATTTGTCCAAGCACACCAAAGTCCTCTTGGCTATGTTGTTATGTGAAGGTTAGAAGAGTTACAAAGAATGTTTGTAAGCTTGATATGAAGAGGGTAAGATTAAGTAAAGTTACACAACATGAGAAGAAGTGTTAGTCGAATTGTTCTGTGAAGATATATCAAGAGTCAGACACATGTATCAAACTATTGTAAATTTCAACTGAGTTCAGATGTAGAGAAAAACCATGGTCCTACTCTAATGTAAATTGACCCTAGCAAAACAATAACAGCACCATATAGCCAAGCTAATGAGTTGGTATGTGGACAAAATTCAGGACAAAAATGTGTTGCAATGAGTTTATGTACTTTGATTTACAACAACAAACAAGGAATCAATTCTGCTAATGATCTTGTGTCAATAATGAATATTGGAAATCAGTTCTAGATCTATTCAAGTTTGTTTCAGATAACCAGACAATCATTTTTAATGCAGACAGAATTACCCACACTTTCAAATGTGTTTGAGACTGACTATGAACTTCAATACAGTGAAAGGTACACTGGTACTATTCATCAAGAAGCTACAATAGAAGGATATCAGTACTGTACCTCCTTAGATAGAGCCTTTCAATCACTTATATCTMAAAACTTCAACAATTTTGACTTGACAATAGGATGTACTCCAATTGCTATCTATTGTAAAGGTAATGTGGGCTTGAAAATATTTAATTCTCGTGCAAGGGATATTTATGGCAGAAGCCATCCTCAAGGTACATGTGTACTGCTTGAAGTATTATCACTGAATAGCTTAGTACATTATTTTCAGAGCTTACATAATGATATATTTGAGTTGAAAGGGGTTAAAATTAATAAAGTTCAAAATAGTTTTTCAGAGTCATGCCTGTAAAACCAGAAAGTTCAATGTGAGTTGTGCTGTGGCTGTCTATTCACCCAGCTACTCTGTAATAAAATCATGTAGTTACTGGAATTCAAACACCTTTTCTGATGTTATTAAGTATGGCAAAAGATTATATGAAAATTCATCTTTGAACAAGTATTTACCATCAGTTGATTTGCCAAAAACTTTTGATGTTTGTGGAACTGAAGTAAGTTTAGATCCTAAAGGTGATTACACTGAAGGAGTATTATCTGATTCAGTTGACAGCAAATCAAGTCTTGAAAATCTTGTAAGAAATAATAGTGAATGCACGGGGTTTTTGATGTGGTTTTCAGTTTTTTGTATGAAATTTATTTTTAAACCCACAAGAAGGCTAAACTATGTGTATTGCCTCTTGGTATTTAATGAAAGTCAACACCCTCTAATTGAATATACTAAGACTGTAAATAGCTAGCACTGCTTCTCTTTTTGTTGTCATCAGCAATATTCAATATTCAGAGATTTTTCTATTAAAAACAATATGAACTATTGAACAGTAATATTGCTTCAATCAACTGATTTCTGACAACTCCCCTTGGGTGTACGTTAATTTTGGCAACAAACTATGACTCGATACCAATAATAGATAAAAAATTCCCTTCTCCTTGCAGTTAAAGGAAAATACATTACCTACTCAGGGTTCGTAAAAGCCTTGAAAGTCCTTGAAGATGCTTGAATTCAAAAATGAAAAATTCAAGGCCTTGAAAGTACTTGAATTTGAGAACTAGAGCTTGATTTTTGCAATGCTTTTTCTTTAACAATTTTCAAGTTGAAAATTGCAGTACTTTAATGGAAAAGCTGAGAAATAATATTGAATAATTTTAAAATTGCTTATGCAAACCTTTCCAAAAGTGGTCCTTCAATTTTCTAAAACTTGGTCAGTCATTGAAAAGTGCTTAAATTTCAACCTTTGGCATATGAAGGAACCTACTCCTATATGGTAATATATTATTTTGGTTGTTGTCTAGTACCATAACAACATTCATTACACTCTAGCAGACAAAAATAAACACAAGTAGACTTATTCATGACCGGCAACCATGAAATTGTGTGACGACAGTAACAATGGCAATAGGGCAGTCCCTTAAAGATAATTCCAGGTGTGCAATATTGAAAGCCCGAGTTCATGCAGCTATGTGTCTAATTTAATTATACCTGAGTTTGTTTCTGCACTTATAAGTAAATGAGTCAGCCAGTCTCTTTGTTTTGGTGGATGGTAGTTGATATTTCAGTTTCTTTCTGACGCTGTATGCTGGCTTGTTGGAGGCTGGAATTAGGTTGTGGATCTTGCAAGACCGGTTGTTAGCCATTGACTGAAAGAGTTATAGTGCCAGTTTTTTGTGATGATCTTGTAGGTTGTCTATTCTGGCAAGCTGAAGGGCATTTGTGTAAGATATCCTTGGAAAAAAGCATGAGAGAGCTCTCACACCTTACATGATTAACTAATCCTGTTACTCCCAGATCTGACCGAAAATTAATTTCTCTTAACATCGTCAATACAGTTATCAGCACTTAGGTTGCAGGAAGAAGGAAAAGTATCAACTCAAGAAATCATTTGATTTAACACTGTCTCCTTGTCAATTGAAATGTATAGAGAACGGTATGTAACTATGGAGAATATGAATACTGCTGTTAGGGAGTCAAGGGTTACTCTTCATGTATAGTTGAACTGAAAATCTGTTGTATAGAGGTTTTGCATGGCAGCCATGTTGCATTGCAGGAACAATGAAAATATTTTGCATAAGAATAAAATTTTTTTCCCATGGATAATCTATTGCTCCTGCCATGCAACATGGCTGCTGTGCAAAACCTCTATGTGCATCCAAATAAGCTACAGTACATTCCATTTTTTGAGAAATTTGTATCTTCCACTGTTGCTAAGGACAGTCCTGTTAAAAAAACTGCTAGCGTAGGTAGCCTTCCCGGGCCCAGTTGTTTAAAGCAAGGATAAGGCTATCCCGTAGATAAATCACTATCTAGGGGATAAGTGTTCACAAAACATACTGCACAATCTACTGGAGTGGGATTTATCTGGTGGACAGCATTCTCTGTTCTTCGAACAACCATGGCCTGATCTATTGTACACTTAACAATGATTTATTGTTTTTGCAATGTTTCATTTGTCAAAGGACCACAAGAACCCTTTTACAAAGAGCAGTCGCTGTTGAAGGTCAGAATTTTATTTGATGTTTTATTCTCTTTGTTGTTGTTGTAGTGTGCACCTTTTAATAAAAGCACATTTTTAAAACAAATAGAGAAAGCAACTATTTAAAATTAAGATTGCTCAAATATGTAATAGCTATCGAAGAATTTTGCATACAGTTGTATTTCCTGTAAATCTGTATTATTCACCAAGTACAAGGTCAAGATGGCATGATATTTACACAGTTTAGAGAAAGCTAATTATCTTGTCACGAGTATGGGTCAGACTAACCTTAGAAACAAATTTTGAGTCCCATGAGGAATTGAACCTCAGACATTCAGATTCTTTGTTCTTATGCTCTACCACTGAGCCCCAGAGACTTTCCAGTGTTCCAGGCCATAAGGCACTTTGTATGTCATTATTCCTGTATACATTATTAATGTATCAGCAGCGTACAGGACTTGTGTCACCAGGAACCTTGTAATAACCAAGGTCACTAGTCTTTGCTGTTCTAAGCTGTGACTATTGACTAAATGGTGACTGAATTTACAGCTTAAGTTGTGGATTTGGCAAACTGTGTCTGGCAGTTATGCAATAGGTTGTAATGTCTTTGTCATTTAGTTATAACTTAGGGCCAATGTTAAAGTCTTCTACAGTTTATAGAAGTAATAGTGAGGTACATTATTTTTTGAGCTATTTCCCTGCAAATTTTACTTGCGCCTTTTGAACGCTCGGATCAGCTTCATGTTTTGCTTAGAGTTATTCTAACTTTAGTGTTGTCTCTTCATCAGAAAGCCACTCCACTTTGAGAAGGCTTTTGGACTCCATTGATGTACAGTTGAAGGAATATGAAGGGACTCTGCCAACAATAAGGTGTGTCATACAATCAAAACCTGCTCTTTTTTTCAGCAGTAGGCTTGAGAATACATTTATATTGTTATTGACTCTGACACTCTAAATACATGTAGCATATAGTAAGAGGCACTCATTTTGTAAACTTTGTTCATTCTTGTCACTTGTTTTAACCAAAATTATGGTTGTTGTCATGATTATAGGACATCAGAAAAAGAAGCCCCAAGAACTCCTCTGGGTAACAAAGATCAACAGGATCAACAACAACAGAAGAGCGCAACTGTTATTGTTATTGATGACGATGAGACTGAATATGTTGATGTTGCTGATATTTCTTGCCAAGCCACTGATGAAGACATTCAGAATGAGACTGGTGAAAGAGAGAAGGAAAGAGAAAGGGAAAGAGAAAAGGAAAGAGAAAAGGAAAGAGAAAAGGAAAGGGAAAAAGAGAGAGAGATGGAAAGAGAGAAGGAAAGAGAGAAGGAAAGAGAGAAGGAAAGAGAAAAGGAAAAAGAAAAGGAAAAAGAAAAGGAAAAAGAAAAGGAAAAAGGAAAGGACAAAGCAGAGACAGCAAATCAAAATCAAAATGTCTCAGTACCTCCTCGACAGCAAACAGCTGCAACAAAATTTTTACCAAATTATGTTCCTATCAGACCTGCCCCACCCAAGGAAATAGTACATACCTTCACTTCAACACAGACAGGAACTTTGTCACTAACTCTACAAAGAACTAAACAACCAGATGTTACTATTTCTCCAGTAGCTTCTATTGGAAAGTCACCCCCTCCAATTTATAAGACATTGAAGCCACCAGTTGGCAGTGGAGAGCCATATTTACCAGAACGTGTTACTGTGATGTCTTCTCCACCATCTCTTCCGGTTCAGCAGCCAGTGCCTAGTCTTGAGCTGGAAACACAAACTCCACATGTTATGTCTCCAGTCAACAGCAGGTTTGTGATGTTTATTAGAACATGGTTGTTTGAAGATGGGAATACACCACTCCTTTGCTGATATCTAAACATGTACTTTGTAATTAATACCTGCACTCATTTGATTTGCAGCTTTATTTGTTCTTTGCAGGCTTAGAAAGAAAGCATAACAACATCACTGAACAATAAGATGTCAGAATTATGCCAAATGCAAAAATCAGATTTAGAAGTTTTTCACTCTGACTAAACCCCAAACAGACTTGACACAAGGGTTGAAAAATTTAATTTGACCATCAAAGTTTCATCATTGAACATTTTATTTCAAGTTACGTGTGCGTGTGGGTGCCAATTAGTAGCCCTAAGATGTATGTGTACTTTGATCACGTAAAAGTTGATAGCTTTTGAAGATTGCACAACAAATCCATTCAGATGCCTGTTGATGTTAGCTAACTTAGACACTGATTTGAACTAGTTTCTTGTGTCATTTTCTTTAATTCAGTTTTTCATGCATTGTAATTTTGGGATGAGTAGCACGATCGTACTCATGGACATGAACTGATAGTGAGTCATATATGGTTTTGTTTTAGGCCAAGTACCACACCCACTGTTCCACAGCTACCCCCCAGGCAGACATCCTTACCTCAGCCTGGACCATCCTCTCTTGGTGAAAAAGAATCAATCAAGAAAGAAATAAAGAGGTTTGTGGACTCTGAAATAATGCAAAATGTTGTCCTTTAATTTTTTTTAGAACTTTCAGTGGTCTTAAGTGGTTTTTGATATCCTTTGCATTTAAATCTGCAAGTATCCAAATACATGTTTTGCTTTTGAATTAAATGGCTCTTGAGTCTTACTGTGAAGGTGCATTGGCCTCATGGTTAGTGCACTTGACTCTAGGTCAAGTGGTCCGGATTCGAGCCCTGGCCGGGAATGTTGTGTCATGTTCTTGGGCAAGAGACTTTACTCTCACGGTGCCTCTCTTTGCTCAGGTGTTTAAATGGGTACCGGCAAATTTAATGCTGAGGGTAACCTTGCAATGGACCAGAATCCCATCCAGGGGGGAGTAGAAATACTCCTAATGGCTTAATGCTACAGAAACCAAAGTTAAGTGTTGGCCTGATGGGCCACTTGGCTCGTAAACAGACTTTACCTTGATCGTTACTGTTTTCCCTCTATGTAACAACCTCTTTTTGATTGAGAGAACACTAAATCTGATGGTTCTGCTAAACTGGCAAAAAAGATAAAAAGAAAATAACTCTAATACTGGAAAATTATAGACGAACTATCGACGTTTTGGCCATATCACACGGCCTTCATCAGGAAACTGCCAAGTCAGCCTAGGTCACACAAGTGTCACAGGATAGCTGACTCAGCACATCCTGTAATGCACATCTATAATTTCCAGTATTTGAATTATTTTCATTTTATCATATTCCCAACTGGATGACTGATACAATTCACAGCCACTGGCAAAAAAGGTTATTAAAGATATGTAGCAAGCCAAAAGCCACATTAAGTTGTGTGGCAATCCCGCTCCAAAGGGTAGTGTAACCGCCGCCAGTTTTTGCACATCACACTTTTTGAAAGTTCAACCAAACATGCATTTTAAACGTTCTATCGCCAAGACTCCGCTCGACCAGTTCATGTCCAGTCCCCCTACAGTTCATCTGTTATAGATACTGTCAGATAGCAGACGTTGATAGCAATTTGGAGAGAGAAACTTCATGCAAAAAAGAAGCTATGAATCCCTGAGTCAGAAATTCTTACCCTTAATTGAAAGCTCAGCACCTGTTGGAAGAGAAATTAATTTAATTTTAATGTTGTGTTTACCTAGTTCACCAACAGGTCCTCCTAAGTTTGAGGTTGGGACACGTGTCATAGGTCAAAGGGCTGATGAACTATGGTATCCAGGTAGGTGATATTCATCTATTTACTAGAGACTATTCTTTTTTAAAAAAAATTTAGATTCCTGCAACATTAAAGCAGAGTGTTTGAGGATTTTACAACTATACTAACATAGGGGTGCAGCATCAGAATTGCATGTAGATATGGCAAGATTATAGGTTGAACTCCTGTTGAAGGCACTTTTTCCCCTAAATAAAAACAAAATCATAAAACATAAATCTTTCTGTGGTTCTCCTTTCCTATAGTTTCAAAGGTGTGATAGAGAAGATTTTGACAGACAAACACAATCAGGTAAGATTTTGGTATCATTGTTTTCATAAACATCAGTTTGTTTATTAATAAAACCTTTGGAGAAAACACATAAATATGAAGTTAAATTCATTTTAACTTTACTTATTAGGAATCAGTACTGAAATATGTAATACATGACGTAAGCTCGTTATTTCATTTTTTTCAGACCAAATACAAGGTGAAGTTTGACAAAGGTACTAGGGGTCTGCTGTCATCCAATCATATATCTTTGGAGTCAAATCCCAACCCATCAGTGCTAAATGTTGGTAGTCGTGTTGTAGGTGAGTCTGAGAAGTTCCTGTTCTCTAACAGCATCAAAAATGAGCCAGTACGTGTTTAGTTTCTAGATTGCTGACATTGATATTTGTAACCTGTGGAGTCATGCCTTAGCAGGGGTAAGCTTGTATGCACACAGGTCCTACAATTTTGAGAACAGAAGATGTAAATTTTTTGCTGTTTTTTCCTTTATACCTCCAAAGGTCTCTTGAAAGAGACTGTCACTACCTTGATTTAAACTCTTCAGTGGGGGTTTCATTATTAATTTTATAAGCTGGAAATTGTTAACAGATCTTGCAGGGAAAGAAAAAGTGTGATTTTGAATCTGGAATGTTTCTGTTCTCTGACAGTGTAAAAACTGAGCCAGTCTTTAGTTTCTAGAATGCTCACATTGATATTTGTAACCAGTGGATTCATACCATAGCAGGGGCAGGCTTGTATACACGTCCTACAATTTTGAGAACGACAGATGTAAATTTTTTGTAGTTGTTTCCTCTATACTTCCAAAAGGTCTCTTGAAAGAAACTGCTACCAAGGATTTAAAGACTCCAGTGGGGTTTCATTATTAATTTACAAGCTGGAAAATGTTAACAGATCTTGCAGGGAAAGATAAAGAGTGAATTTGAATGTGCTGAATTGTGGCTGGATGATCAGATACTCAGACGTAGTGGTTGCTATCTCTTCAATCACCGTCATGTTGTACTGGAAAATTCCACAAATTGATTATTGTTTTTTAACTTAAGATTGTTTTGTAAATCACTCAGAATCCTAGATAAAGGTGTTGAAGATGGAAATTACTTCTCCTTTTGCAAGCTTTACTGCCCCAAAAGTTAGCATCATCCCTCTGATTGAAAGATTCTGTCATGTGGAGTTATTGTGACAATTTGTTTCCAAACATTCTCATTTCTTTTTGATTTACTCCTATCTCTCAAAAATCTTGCTATTTTAAGATTAAACTGTAAAACTTTGATTGCAACACCCTCTTAAAAGAAACTTTTACCTACTTGTAACTTTTGTAAAGTAAAATCTGTTAGATAAAGACTGATATGAACTTGCAGCTCCTATAATAAATTACAATTAAAGCTGAGGGCTTGTGCTTTAAAATGGCTGGATTTAAAGTTAATAGAACAAAAAAGATGGGTTTCTTTGTGGAAATTACTTCTTATGTATGCATGATTGTTCCATTACATTCCCTTTTTCACACCACACGTTTGTAACCTAAGCATTATAAAGCTGTAAATATTTTAATGATTATTATTGGCTCTTGTTGAAAAAGACCTGTCATTCACACTTTAATTGACGCATACTCCTCACTTTTCTTTCACTAGCATTGAGGCCTCGGGATACAGCAGAAGAGAATGCGTCTTGGCGGAAACCTTCTACAGGTCATTAACATTTTCTTTCTCTTGTTGTCTCCCAAGGCTTCATGTTTGCCTTCATGCCCTTCTTCTTGTAACAAGGCAACATTCTTCTGTACCAGAATTTATGAGCTAAGTCTTCTTATGGAGCATGCATTACAGAGCTCTTGACAACTTGTAACTTTGGTAACACATGAAATACATGTAAATTATCTGTCTTACTACATGAAAAGCCCTAAACAGAAATGATTAACAGTAACAAATAAACAAACCTAACCAAGTTACAGACATACCCCCAGTTGATGTGTTAGTTTTCATTTTGTCACATAGCAATTTTTCTTATATAGCTGTACAACAAGTCACATAAAGGTACTTAAATTATTTTGAAGGATCAATTTTTAACCAATTGTGTTGACATTTATTTCACAGAAATATAACAATGGTGGAATTTTTTAAGCATAATTTGGATATGTAAAATTTAATGTAATTTTCTAGACCTTGGGAAAAATAGTAAAAAGTCTGAAATTATATTTTATTCTAGAAAACAATTAATAAATATGTTGTTTTTGGGGCACCTATCTTTTATTTTCTTGCCACAAACCAGCAAAAAATCAACATACATTTTTATTTTCAGTGGTTTCGTGTGTCTATTTACAAATGTAAAAAACTTCGTGACCACGAGTATGAAAAAAAGGGACCCACATGGACACCAGTTCAACTTTGAAGAAAAACATTTTTTTGTTTTGTAGGAATATATGGAAAGTTAGATGTACTGTATGCTGGCATTGTGGCAGAGAATGCGTGTGGTGAAAACAAAAACAGGTGACTCTTTATAATTGTTGCCTTATCACGTGTAGTAAGTCTTCATCATTTTCATATGACTTAATAAGGTAATTTTTTTTGCTCTCAAATTTAAAACTATGTACATGCTTTTTGGTAAATGGCCACAGAAGACATTTGATAAATTTCATGTATCTCAGCAACAAGAACAGCCCTGAGAGAGGCAAAAATTTGGAGAAAAGGAGAAAGCTTCAAAATGGCTTTCTTGACCATTGAATTTTGAGCATTCTTATTACACCATGTCATTCATCTGTATGCATTGTATTGAGCAAAAGAAGTAAGAGGAAAAGGCAAAAATTTTGCTTCTTGTTGTTTAGAATTTCTAAGTAAAGAAGCTTTCTTTCTGTAGATATTTGGTCTTTTTTGATGATGGTTTTGCTCAATACCTACCTGTCAAAAAGCTCCATCATGTCTATCATACAGGTGAGATCAGGACAAATTTACAATACTCTTGTTGCATTACTGTCAATAAAGCTGACAAAAACATGTACCTTAAGTCCTCTCTTTACTCTTTTACTCCCACTAGTGACATATCAGCTAGGAATGATATCCACTTACATTATCAAAATACTGTCAAGCAGAATGTTTTCAGTAGGAAAGAAAAACATTGACTAAAAGAAATTAATGTTTAATTTAACCCTAAACTCACAACTGAAATTGAAAGAAATATGTGGCAGACAGTAAGAAAAATTGAGACTGAAAAATTGAGACTGAGTTCTTGGAGGTGTAGTCTAAAATTGCACAGAGAGAATATCTTGTGCCATTTTTTATAACCATTTCACTCTCAGAAGTGATCAATAAGTAACTTCTCTTTACAATATTGACACAATATCAACCAGAAAGTTGATGAGAAGAAAGTGCAGTGTACACAATTAAATCAAGGGGATTTTGATGTATTTAATACCAATTCTCACTGTGAGAATGATATAAAATGTATAGTTCTAATATAGTGTGAAATTTCTGGGTGATTTGATTTCAAGATTCTTTAGTTTTACTGCTGCCTAATTGATGTAAGTTGAATAAATTGGCCCAAGGCAGTTTGATTATTTGAGTGTTGTTTTCATGATGATTTTGACAGGCAAGAAAGTGTGGGACGAGGTAGCTGAACATTCCAAGGAGTTCATTCAAGAATATCTAGAAGAATTTCCTAATGTATGAGACAAATATTTTTTTATTGTTATTATTTTTATTACTATGATTGTTATTTTTTATGTATCTTTTCATTGAAAATGTCAGGATGTCATAAAAAAAGGAAAAATCTGTAGATAGCCCCTTTTGGAAAATGTATATATTTTGGAGAATTTCTAGTTTCAGTATGTTGATTTCTAGTTTCAGTATGTTGATTTCTAGTTTCATTATGTTGATTTCTAGTTTCAGTATGTTGATTTCTAGTTTCAGTATGTTGATTTCTCGTTTCAGTATGTTGATTTCTAGTTTCAGTATGTTGATTTCTAGATGAGATGTATTCCATGTACACCGTGTTCATTTATTTATATATTACACTTTGATTTTATTAATTTAGTTCTACTTGTTTCATAGCGACCAATGGTAAAACTTAAAGTGCACCAGTGGGTTAAAACTGAATGGAGAGGCCAGTGGTGAGAGGAAGCACTTCCAGATTTGTTTACAAGTTTAAATCATGCATGTAGTTTGAGTTTTGTTCAATTAAATGTAAAATATTGACTCGCTTCTCAATCGTTTCGAAGGGTCTGATCTTTGAAGAAACTGACCTTTCAACAAAAAGGAATGTAAAGTTTGGGACTTTTCAATGATCAGTTTTTGAAATGTTCTTGCATTTTTTTTTTTTTTTTGTAGGTTGAAAGCCAAAGTGATGCAGCTAGATTCTAGTTTGGTCAAGGTCAGTTGAATCTGTTTCTTTGAAGAAATTCTTGGTTGAAGAGATAATTGGTACATATATGAAGCAAAGCTGATGCCGTATATTTGCCGTGCTTATTTCATTGCACTCAGTGTTATATCTGACATGTTAAAGCAAATACCGGTACCGTTTTTTTCGTCATTGCAGATGCTGTTTCAGATTGATAATCGGTCTGAGTGGCTCTATAGAGGATCAACGAGATTAGAACCCTTATACAGTGCCTTGGTGAGAAAAACACCATTATTATCATTGTTATGCAACGTAAATCCTCTAAGAAGCCCCTCGGGGGGGGGGCTTATCTATTTCAGATACTTTGGCGGGGGGGGGTTGTGTGGCTTATTAGAGAGGGGGCTTAATAGAGGGAGGGACTTTTTAATTTAGAACTCAGTAAAGAACTCAATTTAATGATCTCACTCTTTACATAGACCTTGTTTAGCCATGTTATATTTTAAGCGTCGCTCTCTAATTTCCGTATACCGTATTCTATTGATGTCAACATGATAACATCAATCAATCACCATAATCAATTTTAAATACAAACTAAAATTACAGTATTTGAATAAATTTATCGTACTTACTGACATGGAGTGTTATTTCGATTTTTTTTTTTGAGGGGGAGGGGTGGGGGCTTAATAAAATTCTTCCACTAAAGAGGAAGGGCTTATCTGAGGGGGGGGGGGGGCTTATTAAAGAATTTACGGTATATCTTATTATTGGAACTTTTCCAGTGAGACCATCATTAAGAGATCTATGGGTACATGGAGTTCCACTCTGAGGCGACTCCAATTGAATCACTTGAGAGGGGATGAACAAGCATTTCCTAAAGAGGGACTAGTCTGATTGCAAGTACGGCATCGGTAGATACATGTACACCACTCATTCTTACGTGCAGACTTTAACATTTGCAGGTTGATGGGAAGATTTCCACTGCGAGGAAAAAGAGATCTCGTAAACTGACGCGAGGCGCATCATCAGGAAAACCTCAAGAACCGTTCATCGACTATAGTATCACTAAACCTTGTTTTGGTATTTCACCCTACAGCAAAAGTGATCCTCTGGGTACGTTATTCGTCTGTATGAATGAGTACATTTTCAAGCCTTAGGCGATTAACGTCAGCAGGGAAAATATGTGTTACAGCAGTTGCGCAAGTTTATATTAGTCAAGGGGCTTGACTCAATTTGGGTAAACAGATACGATTCTAAAATTTTGTTGTAATTTTCTTCATTTTGGAAAGATGATGTGAATGAAAACGTTTGAGTTTCTGTCAATACTATCTCTGTAGTGGGGGTCCCTTGGGAAATAATTTCTATCTACGTGAAGGAAAATCAGATTTTGTTTTTAAGGCGTCATTTTGAGCTTAAGCAATTTTGCACTTCTTAGTACTACCTACCTACTGTCTCTTGGTTTGTTTGAAAATTACATTTTCTGTTTTGGTTTGGTTTTAATTTACTAGGTGAACAACAACGAAAACTGGAGGAAAAACGACAACAGACACAGCTTGAGCAACAAAGACAGCAAGAGGTTGGTGTGCCGTGATTAATATTAAATTGTGGGATGTGCAAATTCATTTCCAGTCTGCCTAGATTTTCAAGCTCTGGAAGCGATGAACACCTGAATTATTTTTGAAGTAGTCCTGCTTGAAGACGATGAAGCCAATCCCATAGGGGATAACTAAACTGTAAACAGCAAGGGTAGTTAGCGTTTTTGCTTGCAAACCTGTTCCAATCTTCACTCGACATTCCTGTTCATCATGATCGTCAGGGTTTGAGAAATTAAAAAAGCTAGACAGATGTAGCGTAAAACGATTCAGAACGTTTCAGCTGTCAAAATACCAGCCTTTCCTCTCCTTCCCCTCTCCCTCCCCCTCCCACACCGCTTTTAAGGCAACGGGGGGGGGGGGGGTTAGGGGGTTAGTTAGTTCGAGGGCATCTTGATTTGGTTTTACTTTGTCATATAGCCGAACCATAGGTAGTCAGAACATGGGAAAATACCACAAGGAGTGATTGGTTAGGGTGCGCTATTTTTGTCCACCAATCACAGTACAAAGTAAAGCGGATGATTTTGACACTGGCTAGAAAAAAATGCCTTTTTTTGACATGATCAGTCATCTCAAATATTTGTTACTTTGTCTTTTTTCCCTCTAAAGCAACAAGAGCAATTGAGACAAGATAATAACAGTTTCATCACAACATCTGCTGGAAAAGTTCCGTCCAGTAGTAATGGTGGACCAACCTCAACTGTAACAACAGCTTCAAACACAGGGGCTGGCAAGAGTTCGTCAAGCGATTCAGGCTTTGTGTCTTCCAACAAGGGTACAAGTAAATCGTCTTTGTCGGGAACGGAAACTTCGTCTGGACTAATTGGAAAACAGAAGAAGGACTTTGCAGGTGGCTCTGGAACTGAGGCATCAGGTGAAACCTGTTCTATAGAGGTGTTATTAACAGACTTTATGGGTTTTCAAATCTGTTGGTAATGTCAGACCTTAACTTTATGATAACCTTGCTTTGCCCTTCGTTCCAGGATCGCTACAAATAAACTCCGCAAATCTTGTCCCAGGTAGTGGTTGTATTGGTGGCGGTCATTGTGTGACATCCCCAGGATCTGGACGAAGTGATGATTTCAGTGCTTCATCAGTCACTCAAACAAGTGTTGTAAGGAAAAAAACTAGCGGTGGACTAGGTAAGATGAGTAAACTTTTTCAAATTCGTCATGAAATATAGTACACTTAACATTAGCTGTTACATTCCTCGCAGACTGTTTCGATACTGAAAAAGAAAGGTTAACAAGCTACAAGAAGAATGTGTTGCGTTCCAGTGCTCGCCACGAATCTTTTTTAATGAAGTTCCTTTGCTGTTCTATATCCTTCAATTTAATTCTCAGTTTTGAAATAACTTGGAGCAACTTTTAATTGAGAATCGAAAGCAATCCGGGATGACTTTGTTTTCCTTTACTTCACTCCATGATTGCTCCAGAAATCTCGCGCCTTTCTCTCTCGACCAATCTGATGCGAAACTAGAACCAATCATGACTTGGTCCGTGTTTTCCCGCTCTTTAGGAAGTTTGGTTGTTGATACTCATAAGTTCTCATTGGCTCTGAAAGGTATTTTCCTTTCTCCTGATTGGGCCGTTATCGTTAGTTTGGTTTTGGTTTACGACATAATTGAAAAGCGCTCTTTTTTACAATACTGTTTTTAGTCTCTACAAGAGATCTTGCACAAAGATCAAATGGCATTCAAGTGATTGACTTAGATGGAGATGGAACAACGGCCATGCTTCGTGATCCTATGGATTCCAGTCAGATGATGAGTCCTAAGGTAAGATACGTGTTTGCTACCCGCACTTTTCTGGCTGAAAGGGAAGGAAAAACGTAGCAGAATTTGAAGATTTCAGCTGGCAATGGTTTTATTTACTGATTTTCTACGTTTTGTGTAGGATTACCTTTCAATTTCATCGATAGCTACTTCTTGATTTACAAGATGATTTGGTTTTATCAATTGAGTTTATAATGTAAGTTGGCCACCGTAGAGAGATTTTAAAGCTGACGTGTGGATCGTAAGCCCCTGGTTAGAGCTTGGTACTATTGCTATTTACACTTCTAACAATGATAAGGCATAATAAGTAGCAATTAAAATTCCTTTCTTCATTCATTCCTTCCTACAACATGAACAGAATGCTGAATTAACGACATTATTAACAACAGTATCTTGATGTGTACTATTTCTATCATTTGACTGACGTACAAATACAAAATGCCGTCGAAAATTATGAAACATTATTGTGTCATTCTTTTTAAAATTCTATCATCCGTTTAAGTTTCCCGAAGTTCAAGAAAAACAAATCCACAAAGTTTGCTTCTCAAAGAGGAAAAAAAATGGATTTCTAACATTCCTTGATATCCATCCTTCCTCATGGTTCTAACTTTAATTTTCAGTACCTAGTTCCTTATAGCGTGGATGGGTCAAATCTGGACGAACTTTACAATGTTAGTATTTTTTGATTTTGTTAGGGAATTGATTCCAGTGGATCGAATTGTTCACTGTGCACCGACTTGAATGCACATTGCACCATTGACTGAAACATTAAATGTATTTCATTAAAATTTTCTAGCTTTTTACTTCAGCAATTTTTATTGAATTGACCAACGTGTTCCACATACGATTGATAGTCTGTATTCTGTAAATTTATGTATGGAAGCAGTTTCAAACCGCTTGCTAACACTGTTAGCTCAGTGGAGCCTCTCCTTTGGGACACCACTCTTTACTGGATACCCCCATTTGCTCTTTCGTCCCAAAGGTGTCACTTGAATGAGGGTTCCGCGAAAACAACTATGATGTTTTACATTTTGAACTAGAAAATGCTCTAGGACAAAATGAATACAACAAAAATACAAAGCTACGCCATTTCTATTCAACGAATAGAACAGTTATGGATATAGTTTTTAGTTCAGTAACTCTCTTTTTATTTACTATCATTAAAAAAGATTCACGTTAAGTTTTACGAAAGAGAACTCGTTAAATGAATACACGCAAATAATTTTTCTTATACAATTTTGCTCTTGAAAGAAGAACTGAAACGCTTTAAAACGCACACCTAATAAATTTATGCAATCCTCGGTGTGTCCTAACAGTTAGCGTGGTCAGCCGTCGTTGAATTTAAATGATGTAGCAGCAATCTAAAACTTGACTTGGGTTCTAGAACCCTTTTTGCATCATATTTTGTATGCAAAATTAAAATTTCAACTCAACTGCCCTTCTCCTCTTCTGCTATTCTTCAAGCCGCCAGTGAGAGCTATATATGGTCTCAAAAACCGGTTACTTCTAAGGGTTTAATACAATTTCATTTGGTAACTTTTCAAATACACAGTCAAGGAGTATCCTCTACACCAAAGCAAAATCATTTACTACTTTGCTTATGAACTGTTTTCACGCTAGTCCCAGACCTGGGAGGCGCCCTGGCTACGAGCCAAAAACCGTGACGTCAGAAGCGTAGACTACAATCGAGTCCCAGCCTTCCAAATCCCCACAAACGACCGACGTAAACAGGACGCTGCAACGCTGATCGCAGAGAGACTGAAACAGCATGAACCAGAGAACAGGCCTGTGGGACAGGGTGCTCTTGCTGGGCTCCCTGTTCCTAGAAAGCAAGCGCCTAAAGGTGAGCGACTTAAATTTCTTCTGAGAATTTGTTATAACATCAAGACAATATACCACAGTCAGTTGATTTATATATCTCTCCGATACACCCTCCCTTGATAACGACAAATTAATTTTCTTTTCCAGGACCTCACAAATGCAGCAAGCCTTGTAATTTGTCGCTGCATCTTGAACCATGCGAAATAATAAAACACAATCCAAGAGCCGTCCCTCTCTTATTGAGATGGAAAAGGTGAAAGTCCTTACAATGATTTTTTTTTCTTGTACTCCGGGGACCGAATCACGTTCTCTACCTCCTTGCACCGTTTTCTAGCCACTCGGTTGCGGACCGCTAACCGTTGTAGTATTGCTTAAGAGTTTAGCCCTATACACCCTTGCATCAGTAGTATGCAAATTATTTGTACTGTTCTCCATACGTTTCCTTTAGTACTTACAAGAAGAATTTGTGTAATAATCAAGAGCTTCTTCAGTTATAAAGATCTTTTCCTTTATTGTCTAGACCTTATTGTTTGATTCATGGGTTATGCCACTGAGAGAAATTACATGCTTAACTCTTATGGGGTTCAAAGGTTAAGAAGTGCAAGTTAACTGAAACACCTTCCGTTATCACCACTGTAGTTTTATCAGCGAATGTGTCTCTTAATATTACTCTTATTTTCTGCTTTACAGAGAAATAGCCCAGCGTCACCCGGGAAACAAGAGAACTGTTTACTACCGCACTCCGTGTAACAAGCGACTGGTAAGGGAACTTTACTTACACCCCTTTTTTTTTTACCGTAGAAAATAGTAAGACACCGCATAACTGGTCCACATTAAGCAAAACTGGCCGCAAAAGATTGGATATTTCTGTATCCTCTTGGGAATTTCTATAGTGGAAGCCGCAATGGTCTAATGATTAGCACGCTGGAGGGTCGAGAGGTCTGGATTGAAGACCTTTGTGAAGGAGTTGTTTTGTTGGGCAAAACACTTTACTCTCACAGTGCCTCGTTCCAACTAGGAGTATCAGTCGGTACCAGCGAATTGTCAGGAAAGCCTGATGAGGTGCCAGGTGGAGTGCTACCATCCATAGTGCAGACTTAACGAGGTGGGATATTCGATCTCTCCTCTTCTCTTTGTGGTATGATTACTTACCGACTTACTTTTTCCCTCCCAGAGATCAATGGCGGAGGTGGCAAATTACCGTAAGTTCATTAAAAAGCGCTGTCGTATAGTTTACTTTTAAGAGACGTTTTTCCTTTGTTATTTAAGGATGTCCGAAGAGTGGACAAGCTACTAATTTAGTATTCATTCAACATTCAGTGACGATTACAGAAGCCACCAACGTATCGATTGACCAGTTTACTTTTGATCCAGACATGTCTTGTCAAGACACTGTATTTCGTGATGTGGTGAGTTGTGTGTTCTGTAGTTTTTTGTATATATTGTCTACGCAGCTTACGTTTTGGGTTTCTATGGCAAAGAGTAGATTTTTGGGGTTTTTCTTTATTTTTTAACGCCTGATTGATGTGCAGAGAGAGTTCTTGTAAATGTTAAGGTGATAAAAGGCGCAGTTAAAGTGATAATGATATAATGCTGAGGTTGCATGTATCCAACTTTACCTGTTGGTTCTTTTTAAGCCGAGGTCCCACACCTTCCCCTAATCCAAAATTAGCCCTTAACTTCCTCCCGGTTAGCTCAATGGATAGAGCGTTGGACTGTTCTGCGGGAGGTCGAGGTTTCGGCTGGACCAACACTCAGGGTCTTAAAATAATTGAGAAGAATATGCTACCTTTCTATAACATCAAGAAATGGTTAGATATTCTAGTCTTCTCGGATAGGGACGAATAAATGGAGGTCCCGTCTCCTGCAGGGTTAGGGGCAGGAGACGTTAATTTCCCACGCACGAGATTACTGTGTGATGGATGTCCTCCCCTGGGGTGGGATGGGTGGTTAACAGGACCCCCGTTGATACCAGTGTTTACTACACTGAAGGGGCTATCCTGTATAAATATAGATGTCTACTCTACTCTACT